ATATTTTTGCAAAGCAAATTTGTATCAAAATCTTAAGATTATTTGTACTAATTAAAATGGATGAGATATCCGTAAATATTCGTAAATATCCGCAAATATCTATTTATTTTCCGGATATCCGTTTTTCCGGATATCCGTATTTTTTCGAAGCAAAGCAAATACCAAAGTTAGATATCCGTAACATTCGAAGCAAATCACAAATACCTTAAAAAAACCCGGATATCCGATCCGTGCCCACCCCTAATTAACATTTTAAAGGTAAAATAGAATCGATTATACGTGAGCAGTGAACCTTTGAAAACCGGTATACTTCATGTTAATACTATAAGTAATGATAGTTTTTCATAATTTAAGCAAAATCGGTATGACATATATTATTACTATAAATAAATAATAAAATTTAAATATGTTAGCTCATGTTCGGGAGTACTATTCTGAAAATCAAAATTTGAATTTTAACAAATACCAACACATGATTACGATATAGGTATTAAAAATTAATAGTGATAAAGTTTGAATTAATACAATAAACCCACATCACCATTGTCCATAAAAACAATGCAATATCCCACTATCTCTATAACACAAATTTGCAATTACACAAAACGCAAATAAATCATATGAAAATCTGGTTTGAACCACCACGAGACGAGCTCTAGTTGAGCTTTTGCCAGGTATCAACGGCCTAAAATTACTATATTCGCTTTTCCAACCTGGAAATGTTTACCATCTCTATCTACTTAATCAAATTTGTCAGTTGTAAATTTTCATATTATTTTCTTTAAATTTTGGTTTACAACTGTTGTTTTTATTTAGTTACATTTTAGAGGGAGAATAAAGAGTCTGAATTTGATGATTGTTCCTATGATGTTAGTCTTTCTTCACAACTAAATGAATAAAATGGTTAATGAGCAAAGCTATGATATGTGAAATATAAATTCAGTTCCAGTCTAACATTTTACAATGCCTTAAACAATCTTTTTTTAACAAAACTATATTCTCTATATATGCTATTCAAAATTGTATAACAAAATAGTGTAAAGAATTCCCTCAAACAATCAAATTTTAAATATGTTTATAAAAACAAAATAGAATTGAAATACTTATTGTTGAAATATTGATATTATTTAACTTTTTTCCTACAAATATTCATTAATTTCATGTAGTCAACTCTTTGAATGGTATATTATATCTCAATAACAATGCCAGTCTATTTAATTTCTCTTGTGATATGGTCGATTGTTAATGATAATTCATCATCATTCTTGTAACTAATGCGACTGATATAAAATGGTTAAACAATACACCCTCTGTTTTATAATAGATGATGTTTTAGGAAGATTTTTATGTCAAATATTTAATATGTCTTTTAACTTTATCAAAAATTGTGCATAATCTTACAACATCAAATATTATGAGACATTGGGAGTATGTGATAAGAAACTTATGTGCTTTGACATCAATCCTCCTTTTTTTCAAGTTAAGCACTTTGACATAAATTCAAATCTAGCGATTTTAATTCACGGATAACTTTAATGTCATAAAAAAAGAATTACCAACTATGTCTTAATGTATACTATTATACAAAGAAGATACCCTCAGAGTATTTTCACTAGATGTTGTTATTTTTATATATCAAACAAAAATAGAAAAAGCTTGTTTTTGTTTTTGAATTTTTCAAAGTTCACAAGAAACTAAAACTTGATCCATGAATATCTTGAAGGTATTCATTCCTCAAAAATCTGTAAATACTGTTAAAAGATCTAACATCTATTCTGATTACAAAAATCAATGACTATTTTTTATACTAAAAACGGTCATAAATTATATTTAGTTATAAAAATTTGAAAATTATTTATTATTTCTTACAATTGATGTTGTCGTAAGTCACCGTTTGTGTCGTAAATTTAGATTTGAACTACTTGATTAAATGTAAGTTCTATATGTAATTAATTTTATATGTAGGTTTGTGGCTACAATGCAATATGTAGTACATGTAATTAATGAGTTTTATAATATAAACATCTATGAAAAAAACTTATATTGAAAAACAAAATAAATGTTGTACATGCAATATCAGTGTTAATAGTTAATGTTTTCATTTTGTTAGAACTTGGTAGAATATATGCTTTTGAAAAACAAAAACAAGAACAAGCTAATATATTAAAATTCTAAACTCCATCCTTCAAATCTAAATCATAAGTCTAGATTAATTAACTATAAGATTATAAGTGTTTGCTTACCTCTTTAAAACCAAAAATAAATGTGGTTAAGTAAACAGGATAAATGAGTATTACGGAAATGAAATTTAAACAACTTCTCATAAAATTACCTAAAAATTCTGCTATTCAAAATTTTTATACTAATCTGTCATTTTATAATATTTTGAAGAAATAATGTCGATATGTTTAATGCATAATCTTTTTGTGTAATTGAATAGATAAGTTTTGTTTGGTACCTTCTTGTATAGTGTAAGTTGGTCTCACAAACTGAAAATATTAATACGTTTTCACTTTTCATAATCTGGTGTGGTGGTAAGTACTGATACACATATGTCATAACTTAAAAAAATCTTGTAACAGATTGAAATTTAATGACCCAGCCCAAGTTAACCACGACCCACATGGTCCATGCAACTTACCCAATTGGGTCTGTTAATAAAGGAAGAATGAAAGGAGAGACAGATAAAAGTAACCCCAATGGGTCTAAATTATAAATCTATTTTCACATATTTGAAATCGTAAATGATTAATAAAGCCATTTTTAACACATTTCCCGCTATGAATAGAAACAGCTAATATCTCAATTGTTTTACTGTTCTTTTAAACACAGACTATAGAGAAGTATATACGTCTACTGCGAGTTCTTCTCGGAGACATGTGTATGGATGGTCTGACGCACTCACGTGATCGACCAAGCATCACGTGCTGCTGATCCATCCACCGTTGCTGTCCTGTCTCAGTGTCAACGTGGCACGTGCTAATGACTACTCATGACCGCAGTCCATAGTCAAAGTCAACTGTTTCTTGCTACTGTTACAGTCAATGAGTCGAACAATTCAGTTTGAAATGGTGATCCTTTTGTTAGGGTTTCCGAACGGTTTATATTCTGTAAATAAAAATTTACTAAGAATGTTTTGTTTTGAAAGCTTGTCAAATAAAAGAATCGGCTAAGAATGTTTAATGGGGGTATATTTTCATAGCTAAAATCAAATACTTATGCCTACTAATCAAATTCGTAACTGAAATAACACACATGATCACCAAAGTTCACAGAAAGTTTAAGTACAATCAATACAGTGTAAATATGGAGCTCCACGATGCTAGGTTTGTCTATTTGTAAATTTGTTACCATGGATCTGAATCTATTTTTGTCGATTTGCGATTTCATACATCCCACTTTATTTTCTGACAACAACTAATAAAAATGTCTTGGTTTCATCAGAACAAGTTTTATTCAAGGGACAACAATCATTAACTATATTTCGAAATTAATTTCCACTAGGAATAAAGTTTTGTCTCCGTCGTGAGCACGTTTTCCTTTTTATAATGTTAATTTTTTTTTGAGAAATAATGAATCTATAGTTATATATCCATGTCCATGCAAAAAGTAGATTATCCACCTTTAACAACAACAACAAAGTCGATTATAAACAACTTATACGACGATTATGCAACTATGTCAACAAAATTACTGAAGCCGAAGCTATTGTCAAAAATTTTGTATGAGATATTGTTCTGAGAGTCTGTATTTTACGTTATTACTTAATCGTACTATTTTGCTGGAGATGTTACATTATTGATAACAAATATTTAAATAAAACACGAAACTGTATTTCTCACCGAACCTGTTCTGTGACCTGTCGTGCGCCAAACTCGTCAAACATACATACATACACGACAGAGTAAGGAAACATGGTCTTCCTTACCTTGTCCTTTTTATATTGTCTGCCAGTGTCATTTCTTTTTCTCACTCTACATAAATCTAAATTAGATTACGAAATAAAAAAATCAAAGCAAAACCTTTGAGTTCTTACGGTGGATTTGACTTTTCTTCTCATTCTTTTATTTAAATTTTCCTTCACGGTAGTTTACAGAAATAGTAACCATGCAAATTATGTTAAGTCTCATAATGATTCAAAAAGAGAATCATTTTAATGAGCAACCGACAATCATGGTTAGCTGGAGTTTACAGATTCTGATACTTGGGAAAATGGTACCACAAGATTAGTGAATCCAAGTTTAATCATCATCACATATATGAATTGAGTAATCTACATGGACAGACAAAACTTTCACTATCAGAAGAAGAACCAAATAAATTATAACGAAAATGTTGATTAAATGAGTCCACTTGTAATAAGTAAGACTTTCTTCTTATTGTTTTCCTCACTAAAAAGTACAGAAGAAATGTCTAAATAAAGAAATCTTACAGCAAACGAGTCACATAGATCGAGAACAAAAAAAAAATCAAAACCTAATAAAAGATTCAGAAAGATGATATGATAAGTTTAAATAAATATATTAAGAGCCTCTGAAATCTCACCAACTCCTTCTCTGTCTCTTCCACCTCATTTACTCAATCTCTGTTTTTCTTCTCTACCACTCTCTGGTCCTCTCCTCTGGTCTTTCTCTTACACACGCATATACGTATATAAACACACACACACATCAAACTCTTATGCTTCTTGCTTAGAGATAAAGAAAGATTCATATTTACTTGATTCTTGTTTTTTGTTTCTTTTCTATCAACATTACCCTCAAAATCCTAAAAGGGTTGTTTTATATTATCCTTTTTAAATAATATAGTTACTTCATTTCATATACACTTTTGTAGTGAAATGGATCTAACGGACCGTCGCAACCCTTTCAACAATTTAGCGTTTCCGCCGCCGCCGCCACCGCCTTCAACTACCTTCACAAGCCCTATTTTCCCAAGAGGAAGCTCTTCAGGCACGACTTTCCCCATTCTAGCCGTCGCAGTGATCGGAATCTTAGCAACTGCACTCTTGCTCGTAAGTTATTACATCTTTGTCATAAAATGCTGTCTTAACTGGCACCAAATCGACATCTTCCGCCGCCGAAGAAGAAACAGTGATCAGAATCCTCTAATGATATATACTCCTCATGAGCTAAACAGAGGTCTAGACGAATCCGCTATTAGAGCAATCCCAATCTTCAAGTTCAAGAAGAGAGACGTTGCTGCAGCAGGAGGAGGAGAAGATCAGAACAAGAGCTCACAAGAATGCTCTGTTTGCTTAAGTGAGTTTCAAGAAGACGAGAAGCTGAGGATTATTCCTAATTGTTGCCACGTGTTTCACATTGATTGTATCGATATTTGGCTCCAGAGCAATGCGAACTGTCCATTGTGTAGAACAAGTGTTTCGTGGGACGCAAGTTTCTCTCTTGACCTAATCTCTGCTCCAAATACTTCCTCAGAAGATAACTCTCCTCCTCCTCCTCCTCCTCGTAACGCGAGTCTTGAACCTGGTGAGGTTTTAGGAGGCGACAATGACTTCTTAGTGATCGAGCTTGGGACAAGTAATGGTGAAAACAGACAAAGCGTGAGAAACAGAGACTTTCTTGCGGAACAAGAAAGGGCTACCTCGGACGAGGTATTCCATAATCGTGCAATGCATAATAAAGAGAGAAATTTTCATAAGGTGATGAGTAAGGGAGACGAGTGCATTAACACTCGAGGCAAAGATAATCAGTTTGGTGAGATTCATCCCATGAGAAGATCAATCTCGATGGATTCTTCAGTGGATCGCCAGCTGTACATGGAGCTTCAAGAGGTGGTTGGTCGGAAAACCGGGGAGATTCCAGTGGTGGTCGGAGATTGTAGTGGCAGTGATGGTAATAACAGAGTGATGAAGAGATGTTTCTTCTCTTTTGGAAGTAGTAGAGGTTCTAGAAGCTCCTCAATACTACCTGTTTAGTTGAAAGTTGAAACCCTAATTGTTGTTCCTATCTTTGTTTAATTTTTAAAATATTGTTTTCTGATTTTTTAATTGTTATACTTAGAGATGAATTTATTAAAATTATGTTGGAGGGTGAGTTAGGAGAGAATTAGTATGTTCATTTTTTATAAGACAAAAGAGAATCATAAAAATACAAGTTCTATGCTGATAAAAAAATACAAGTTTTTTATTCAGATTAACACACAAAATGATTTTATTTCTTTAGATCCAAGGCAAAGCTGTCACCATATATACTTACGGTGGGAATTTATAAAACAATAGCACACACAATTTATAAATGTTTTACTCTTTTTATGAGAGCTCTTCATATCTTGAAATAGGACAGATGTGATGCGTCATTAATATCTTTCTTTAAGTACCCTGCTGAATACTCATGTATAGTAAAATCTCTATATTTTGGAGGGTTTTCTTCAGACAAAAGCTCTTTGATTGGTCCATAAACTGTTGAATTTGGATGCATACTCGTGCTGAAAAAGCTCGCCACTGAAATCCTTGGCCCAACTTTGTTTGCGAGAACCCTATGCTGTACGCTTATGAACTTGTCGTTCGTTACAAGCTGCGGAAACACCAAAAGAAAGCAAATAGTTAATTCAACCTTATGTTGGACGTTAAGAGTTTCATATATTTTTGAGCTTTGCCTGCAAGAAATCTCCGATGTTGATGACGAGTGCTCCAGGGGTAGAAGTAACATCGGCCCAACAGTCTTGATGAAGAACTTGAAGACCACCGATCTGGTCTTGAAGAAGAATAGTGAGGAAAGAGTTGTCTGAATGCTTACTTGTGCCCAACGTTAGGTCAGGTTGTGGACAAGGAGGGTAATAATGGCTGAGCATAAGCACACCCTTCATGCAACCCTTGCTCTTAAGGAAACCAGGGCTCAAACCAAGAGCTTCCGAGAGAAGTTCGAAGAGCAGATCACCTAAGCTCATCACATGCTTCGAGTATTCAAGCACACCATCCCTGTAAAGTAATATACAATATTATGATGTTAAAATCAATCAATCCCGTAATGAATCTTGCAACTTGAACCACCATAAATTGTTGAAAAATTGCTTCAAAAACCATAAGTTGACTATCACTTTTCAAAATATTTTCAATCAAAAATGCCATAATATTTGAGTTTTACAGTTTCAAGTTTAGTATAAGGGATGAGAGTGTGTTTATAAACCATTATAAATGATTATTAAACATTTATAAACGATTTAACAGAGTTGGTTTAGTATTTTCAATCACAAATGTAATGTATATATGAAAATTGTCATCCCTTAAAGGTAAATTTAAAAAATTGTATTAATTTGTGATAGAATAAGAATTCTCTCTAAATTGTGTATATATATATATATATGTGTGTGTGTGTGTGTTCAATGTTTTCATAATATCTTTTTTATAAGTCACCTGCAGGATTCAGGGAGCTCCTCAGCCTTTGGAGGGTATGGGTCCAAGTAGATACCAAAGGTGTCTCTCCAGTTAAGAGACGCCGAACTATACAGATTGAAGTTGCTGTGGTAGACAAATTTCTCGGAGAAGTCTCGAGAGAAGTAAGATTTTTTTACCTCGATATCTTCCTCATGAAACCTACAAACTCCATCTTTAATCTCTTCAAGAACGGTTAAAGGAACACCATGATTGATCACCTGGAAGAACCCCCACTTCTCCGCTGCGTCTTTGACCTTCTTAACAACGGCTTCACGTGACGCTGCATCCTTTTTAACTCCTGTAAAGTCGATGATAGGGATTGAGAACTCCGAGGCAGAAACAGGAGGTTTCTTGTCGTCCCAAGTGCCTACTGGATCATGGAATATACGTGGAATTTCAGTGACGTGAGCATCAAAGAGGCCTTTCACGCCTGCTTTTGTCTCATCAAAAGCCTTGCGCTCACTGTAGGAGTCATATTCGGTAACAACACTCGCCTCCATTAATTACTTTTTATGCTTCTTGAAATTTTTTTTGTTTGTTGGTCTGGTTTTTTGACGTCTTGTTTGTTTGTTAAAGAACTTTTTTTTTTGTGCACGAATTTGTTTGTTAAAGAACCTTTTGAAATATTTGTTACAAATTATAAAAAGCTTCATAGAAGGTACGGATATATAAAGGGCAGAGCGTGAGAAAGTGTCTGCGGGCAGTTGAGTGTCGTGTACCTATTTAATATGTATTTTGGGTTACATTTTCTATTAAAAAAAATCGTTTTATCTATACGTAAACTGAAAGTGGAAGTCCCAAAATATGATAATTTAATTATAGTAAGTACTATCTCTAAAACTAGTGGAATAAGGACTAAGGAGTACAAAATATTATACCCAAATAAAATCTGAATTATTATTGCCATGATATTTTGCTTATTTTGTAGACGCCTGCAAGTTAATGGCCAAAAGTGTCCAAACATATATATATGGAGTGTACAAAAATAGAGTTTTCATACGTTCGAAGATCGATTTGGTTATATTAGGTTTAATTTTTTTGTAGCATGGTTTGAATTGGGATTTTTTTTGTCTTTAAAAGCCAATATTGGTGGGTAATTAAAATTGTTCAATCTAGCACGTATACCGCCAACATTAAACAAAAGTTAAGGTGATGAAATTGTAATGTTTCGTGGCTTTTAAGTGTACGTTTTAGACCTTAGTTTTTTTTTTAACAAGACATTTGTGGCTTGTAAGTTGTGTTCGTGTCAGAACATGGACTATGTAATGGTTAAACATATTTTGACGTATGATTACCGGTGAAGAAAGCATGGGTTGGAAGGTGTAACACAATAAAGAATATTCAATATAGTAAGTATGGGGTGGGGTATTAGTTCAAAAAAAAAGGTATGGGGTGGGGTATGGGAGTATGTAAAGCCCTTTATCAGAAAAAAAGGGAGTAACGGAAAGATTCCAGTGGTGGTCGGAGATGGCAGCGCCGTAGCGGTTGTGTTGGTGGTGGTAATAACAGAGTGATGAAGAGATGTTTCTTCTCTTTTGGAAATAGTAGAGGTTCTAAAAGTTCCTCAATACTGCCTGTTTAGTTCAAACCCTAAATGTTGTTCAATTTTTATTTATTTTAAAAATCTCGTTTTGTGAAATTTTAATTATTATATTTAGATATGATTTATTCAAAAAAATTGAAGGGTGAGGTAGGAGAACAAATCAAATGTGTGCACTGTTTATATAAGTCAAAGGAGTTAATGAGTTTGAATAGTTTAATCGAAATAGTAAATTGAATAGTTTTTTTTTTGTTTGAATACATCTCTTAACATTAAATGTGGTGAAGGAAACAATAAAAGTCACACCTACTGTTAGCGATTTTAATTTACTCCGCCACTAGAGGAGGAACCGAAAAAGCATGACCTAAATTTAAAGACCATCTTCATGAAACTTGCAAAAAAACGATTATATTTATGAAGCCCTAACATCGAAATAACAACTTTTATTCTGATACACACGCAATGATTTTATTTCTGTAGATCCAACACAAAGCTGTCACCATATACTTAAGGGTGGGAATTCATAAATGCTGACACACAAAATTATCTACTTATTTTTGGTAGTAGTTTAGTTATAGAGTAGCTAAGAAGAGACGGGAATGGAAAATAAGACAAGGACTGACTCAACAAATGCACAAATATTAACTCAAACAAAAGACTTTACTCTTTTAAGTGTTCCTCACATCTTGAACTTGGACAGATGCGATGTTCCATCCAGGCCTTTATCAAAATATCCCTTTGTGTATTCTTCTAAAGTGAAGTCTTTGTATTTTGGAGGGTTTTCTTCAGATAGAAGCTCTTTGATTGGTCCATACACCGTTGAATTCGGAAGCATATTTGTGCTGAAAAAGCCCGCGACAGAAATCCTCGGCCCAGCTATGTTTGCAAGCACTCTATGCTCCACGCTTATGAACTTATCATTCGTTACAAGCTGCATATCAAAAGGTATCCTAGATTCTCGTCAAAATTGCATTGTATAGTGTACTTAAATAAAAGTTCCTAAATAATATATTACCTGTAGGAAATCCCCTATGTTGATGACGAGCGCTCCAGGGATAGGTGAGACATCGACCCAACTGTCTTGATGAAGGACTTGAAGACCACCGATTTGGTCCTGAAGAAGAATAGTGATGAACGAGCTGTCGGAATGCTTACTTGTGCCAAAAGTTAGGTCGGGTTGTGGACAAGGAGGGTAATAATGCCCGACCATATTCAAACCCTTCATGCAATCCATGCTCTTTAGCATCTCCGAGTGTAAACCAAGAGCTTCTGAGAGAAGTTCGAAAAGCAAACCACCTAAGCTCATCACATGCTTCGAGTACTCGATCATAGCATCCCTGAGCCAATGATATATTCAGGACCAGATTTGAGCATAACATAGTAAAATATGTCGGTTCCCAAATTTTTTACAAGTTATATATACAGAAATCAGCCTCCAGATTCTATAAATATTTTTAACTAAAAATCTTAGTAAATATTTATATCTCACAAAATCTCAAATCCTGTTCTAGTAAGAAATCAACCTCCAAATTATATAAATATTTTTTTATTATAATTTAGTAAATATTTATATCCCAAGTTAAAGTCTATATATCTTCCAAAGTATTTTTTTTGAAGAGAAAACAATATTTATTTATATATACCTGCAAGCCAATGGTATCACTTCAGGGTTTGGAGGATCAGGAGCCATGCAACAAACGAAAGTGTCTCTCCAGTTAACACACAGAGAAGAAGAATTGAACAGATCAAAGTTACTATTGTAGAGAAACGTCTTGGAGAGGTCACGCGTGAAGTAAGATTTCTTAACTTGGAGATCTTGCTCATGAAACCTACGAACTCCACCTTGGATCTCTTCAAGAACGCTTAAAGGAATACCATGATTGATCACCTGGAAAAATCCCCACTTCTCAGCTGCGTCTTTCACCTTCTCAACGATGCCTTCACGTGACACGTCTACGTCTGCAAAGTCGATGATAGGGATTGCGGAGGTAGACACAGAGGGTTTCTTGTTAGATAAGGTACCTTGAGGGAGACGGAAGATAGGAGGAACCTCAGTGATGTGAGCATCGACGAGACCTTTGACGCCTGCCTTGGTCTCGTCGAAAGCTTTGCGCTCGTTGTAAGAGTCTATCTCCATATTTTTGTTCTTTTTAACCTAGCTATTTCGAAATTTCTCACAAAAGCTGAGTCATATATAAGACGAAGAAGAAGAATGTTAACTGTTATAGGTATTCGGGATGGATGTTGATGTGACTTGAGTATGAAGAAAAATGGTATACGTTTTCGTTCTTGTGGTGTGAATATGTCTTATGAGAGTATACTAGTCTTTTGTTATGATCATGAGGTGAAGGAAAAGATAAGAAAGGCAGAGCAGCAACAATCGATGGTTGTAAATTTGGTCTTTGGTGTGTGGGAACGACAATGACCGGTGATGACGTTGGCAGTTTTTGATGGCCTTGATGTCAGCATAAACATTCACAAAAATAACTTGGAACGAACGGGTTGAATAATCTAGTTTACAGCTCATTTTTTGGAATTTGTAGAAGGAAAAATCCTTTATATTTGGTTGACTTATAAATCTGTTTGATTAATTGTTTGAAAATAGATTTTATATAAAATGAATAGTTGAGCTTATAAATATTTTCATTTACCAATTATAAAATAAACAAATACTACTAAATAATTTATTTTAATGTATTTCTATCGCATTTAAATTCAAATAAATTCAGCAATAAAAAAATAATTAATCGCATATTTACGCTGATGTTTGGATCTAAAAATGTTTTAGAATATTTAATTTTCTAAAAAAATTGATTTAAGTAAAATTCTCTTATTTTATATATGTTAGAATATACTTACATTTAGTTTTGACAATATATATATATATATATATATATATATATATATATATTTGTACAAAATTGGTTGCTATCTTATAATTTATACTAAAAATTGTTGTGAATTTTCTTCTACTTTTTCAATTATATTTTTTAGCAACAATACTGTAAATAATATACATATATGGTATGTATTCAACTGTCATTATTTCATTTTAGGAATCTTACCAAAAAAAACTAAAAATAAAGATTTGCTTAGTAATGGTTTGGTTCGGTATTGGTTTATGTTGTGTTTGAGTCTGGTATTACTAATTTAACTGGTTTGGTTCGGTATCAATTTAATGGTTTGGTTTTGTTTTGTTTTCATTGTTAAAAGAAAAAAACAAAGCAGAGGAACAGAACAGAACACAAAGCTCCGACCAAGCAAGAATCCCTCTCTCTCCGACGACAAACCAGACCTGCGACCCTTGAGACATAAGAGAAAATGGGTTTCTTCTCTTTCCTCGGAAGAGTTCTCTTCGCTTCTCTCTTCATCCTCTCCGCTTGGCAAATGTGAGTCCTTTTCTATTAAATCCTTCCTTTTTCTCGATTTGTTTTCTCCGAACCAGCGTTTCAGTTTTTTTTTAATCTTCTTTGATAATTTTCTATCGCGCTTAGCTCCAATTTGATAGAGAACTTTTGCAAAGCTGTTAAATTTGGTTTAAGCGCTTCCAGGTTGTAGATCTAGGGTTTGTGTTATACTTGCTAATGAATCTAGCTTGATCTCTTTCGTCATGACGAATTGGTTGTAAAGTTTGATACTTTGTCTATTATTAATGTCTAATTTTCTCATTGTTGATTTGTCTTCTTATGATGTATTTACCTCTCCGCTTAGAGATATGGCACATGAAGATGTTTTGTATATTCTAAAAGGGAAAGAGTTTGATTCAAACCTAACTAACTAGTCTCGTTCATTAATGATTTTTAATAAAGTTAGCTCCCAAGAGACTGTGTTGTTTCTGTTTCTGTGCCTTTTAAGATGAATAAGGGTCTAGCTTTCACTATTCAGATCTGATTGATTGTGAAGTTTATATGTTTGCTTGAAAGTATACTAGTTATATGGTTAAAGACTTCTCAGATGCCTCCTTATCAATCATATTACTGAGTTTAAACTATTGATATTGGGATATATTATTTAGGTTCAATGACTTTGGAGCTGATGGTGGTCCAGCAGCTAAAGAGTTAGCTCCCAAGCTTGATCTTACCAAAGCACATCTCTCTTCCAGATTAGGAGTATCATTGCCCCACATAGAGGTATTTCCTCGTTTGTTATTTGCTTAAACCTGTGTTTACTTGTCTTCATGAATCATGTCTTTTATTCTTTCTGTATATATATGTTTGGTCTGACTTGGAGAATGAATTTTAAAAAGGTGAAACAAGTCGTATCGGCAATTGTTGCTCTGAAAGGGCTCGGAGGCTTACTCTTTGTTGTTGGCAACATCTTTGGTGCCTATCTTCTGGTTAGGACTCACTTCATTTCTCTGTTAATAAATATTATTATAAACTTCTAGCTGTTGTATTGACTTTGGATTTTCATTTTTTTGTTTGGTAGGCTTTCTACTTGGTGATTGTTAGTCCCATCTTATATGATTTCTACAACTATGGACCCAAAGACCGCCAATTCTCTCTTCTATTGACTGAGTTCTTACAGGTTTGTCTAAAACACACCTCTCTTCATTTTAGCTTGTTCTTGTCATGACAATATAGAATGTTCAAACCATCCTTCAATGAGTCTATATAATGTTTGATCGCAGAGCGTTGCGCTGCTGGGAGCATTGCTATTTTTCATTGGAATGAAGAATTCGAGGACAACGACCTCCTCAAAGAGCAGCAACCTGAAGAAGAGGACACCCAAGCCTAAAGCTGCTTAGAGTTGTTCTATTCTCTTTCACACATGCTTATCAGGCTTTAGAGCAGCTTCTTCTGATGTTTCAAGCTCTACCTTCATTTGTCTTCCTTACAACTCTTGCTTCTTTTTCTACTGCAGGATTCTAGAATTAGCAACAATTCTATTTTTCGTCTAGTTTTATTTATCATTTGAGATCAAAGAGTTTTTTTTTGGTTCGATCATACAATTTTTTAATCATAATTTATTGTTCCAGCAATTTTTGGCAGCATAGATCATAATTTTCTGCGTAATTTTGTATCATTAAAAGTTAAATTTATCTGTTTACAATCTTTTTTTTTTTTAAACACTGGATAATTATGCCATTACAAACTACGAGAAATGTTACATTCAACAGCCGACATTCAACAGCCGACAATTCTATAACTATCTTATGAGGATACACGCACACCTGACAGCCGACAATTCTATACCTATCTTATGAGGATACACGCACACCTGACTGCATCACCTGGCCGCCCTATCGGATCCACGCTTGACGGTATTCCTTATGCCATGCTGCAGATCTCTTGTAAGCCTTTCTCCATTAATTCGCATAATTCCGTCTTCTCTGAGATTCGAACCCCATACCTACTGGTGTAGAGCATTAATGAACCCTTTAGTCAAACCACTGGACCAGGGGGCTTCCACGAATGTTTACAATCTTTTATTTTTATTTATGTCACTCTGAAAGTAAATAGAACAAAATTATTAAATGTTGAACAAAAAGTTAGTTTATGCAGCGAGTTAGGTGATCCGTCCATTACAAACCATTTTAAAACATACAAGTGGTATTTACGAGAGGCTTTTTTTGTGTGTGCATACTCCAATTTTATATTATGCTTGTAATCCAATGGACAAGCTTAATATGCGTAAATATAATGTCACATCAATAAACTTGTCTTTATATGACATGGGTTTTTGATAAAGGTTATTTCTGAAGAATATGAGCCGCTGATTTCTATGGTAATTATAATAAGAGAGTGATTAATTATTCAAAGATATATTACCTTTTGTTTTACACTAGAATATGATTCTTTCCATTATATGTGGCACACAAAATCTCAGAAAATTAAAATAGTAATAAAGGGATTGGTTAGTCTAAAGTTGGTATAGGAAACAAAAGTTATATTATCTCCTTGGTCTAAAGTTCATATGGTCTTTATCATTCTTTTGCTTTCTAAAAACAAAATTTATGAACAATGCCAAACCTACAAACTGATTGGAAAAAAGAGTTGGTAATTTTTAGATTTTTTTTTTAAAAAAACTGAATTGTTGGAAATCTAAGTATCATCATATATTTACAAAATGTATTGTATAGAGTGACTAAGAAAATGGTTCGAAACCTATTAAAGTTCGGTTAGCAAAACTAATGAAATTTGCTGGAAAAAGGAAGAGAAAAAAAAAACTAAAATAATTTCTTAGTAATTTTCCCAACTATACTACAGAAAACATTTCAGAAACCAAAAGTGAGAAAGAGGGAAAATAGTATCTACCGTCCTCAAAAAAAAAAAGAGAGAATATAGTCAAACTTATAAATTGATTAGTTTAGTCTTACTAGTCAAAAGGAAAAAAACTTTAAATAGTTGAAAAGAAAAGAAAAAATAATCATAAAAGATTCGTCCGTTCTAACCAAAATACAAGCCGAACACACATGAACACACCCCACTATATATAAGTTATAACACGCATACTCCCACTCATAGACAAAAAAACAAAGGATAACAAGAAACACTGGCAATGTCGTCCACGGCGAGAAATATGTCTGGCGGTGGTAACCGGAAGTCGAGTAGGCTGCAGCGGCGGGCTCCACCACCTCTTAAGATAAACCCATCCGAAGCGAATTGGAAACTGCCTATTCCCCTTCTATCACCTACGGAGTCACCTCCACCGAAGCCACCAATGGTAATGAAGAGGGAGGAGCAACGGTGGGGAAAAGAGGTGGAGAAGCCGCCAGTTTTCAAGAAGTGGCAGCACCCGGCCGCTCCTTTTTACTACCAGCCAGCGCCGTCTTCGAATCAGCCGTTTGCATGGCCAAATTAAATATTGGTCTCTTAATACTAGCTAGGGCTGTCACATACATATCTACTATATATGCTTAATGTGTCGATCATATGGGTATAACGTATACACATCTAAATATTTTAATGGTTATGTAGCATGTAAACTAGTATTTTATCTTCAATGCAAGATGTATGTTGGGTTTTATGTTTTCTCTTCGTAAACTGACTAGTATATAGGATCGAACACGTGAAATCCAAGGTGGAATTATGGGGGAAAACATAATATATAGTACAAGATTCTGTGATAATCGTGTAATTTCTTTTAATCCATTTTTATCACAAAATGAATTCAATCTAACCAGTATGACTTTGATATGTTCACACAATGTTTTTTTTTTTTTTTTTTTTTTTTGTAAACTGGCTTTCACACAATGTTTTTATAATTACAATAAGAACGACACTGTTGCAAGTGGTTGCGTGAGTTTATTATTCTTGCAAAATTATTGTAGACTAAGAAATAGATGTAACTAATAGGTATTTTATTTGTTGTATATATATATGCGCTTTTTCAATTTCACAAATCACAATAAATGTTCACAAAAAGTAAAATAATTGACCCTGGCATGCAACTGCATTCGGGTTGAGTTTGAGAATAAGTTGTGATTAACAGATTGGTAAAAAGATAATTAATGATCACTCTACTGCCGACTGAGTTAAGTAGTATTCTCATATTATCATATAGAGTTTGTTCCCTTCACATACAAAGCTAAAATATGTGTGGTCTTACATTGTTTTCTTTTATTTTTTGTAAGGAGTTTGTGGTCTCATGCAAAAAGCAAAAAGGACTATGTACATTGACCTTAAGTTTCTAAGATGCATGCATTCTTTCATTCCTTTTCAGCTAATGATGCATGCTTTCATTCCTTTTTTTAGTTAATGATGCATGCATTCTTACCTTGCATTTTTGAAAAATAAGACATTTGTTTGGCCTAAACGAGTAGGTAATGGACAGAGAAGGGAGAGAATCAGCACGTGTTCGTTACCCGACACGTAGCATTAGTACTGCCTTGGATAAAAGAGAAAGGAAAAAAGCTAGTAACTATAAAAAATCTGCACCAGCCGGGAATCGAACCCGGGTCTGTACCGTGGCAGGGTACTATTCTACCACTAGACCACTGGTGCTTTTGTTACTTCACTCTCATTAGGTATCCCACATTTTTAGTACGAATGATGATGATAAAATTCCACTCAAACACTTCCAAGTAACAGTCAGTAGTCTCATAATGTGATACTTTTAGTGATGTTTGAATCCAATAAGATGCTGTTGCACTGAAGATTCTTTCTGCGTTGAGAGTTAAGTTAGGCCCACGCACAATAAATGGTTCGGTATGTTATGAACTTATGAATGGAAAGCATAGATGGAGTGTTTAACTAAATCATGTCTAGGAAAAGGAAAAGAAACAAACTCATGTCTATAAGAAGCAAGTAGGTCAAGATATCGAGCAAACATAACGTGTTAGAAACGAAATTATTGAAACGAGCAAGTGGGTGTTAATTATCTGATAAGTATTTTAAATCAGTAAATCAATAGAACTAATATTCTCATGGCAGCCACAAGTCGTGCCATTTAGTTAATATAATGAGTAGTAGAAGACTAGAAGTTGTGCCATTTAGTTAATATAATGAGTAGGAGAAGACTAGCAGTTGTGCCATTTAGTTATTCTTTGGCTACTTTATATACTTCATAGTAGTGAGGACTGGCGTTTGGACAAATTCAGATGAAACATTAGTTTTGATTTCTAAAACTTTGTGAAAAAATGACATGTATACAAATTTTTAAAATAAATTTTTAGATCCCAAATCTATAATAAAAAATTTTAGGCGAAATCGTTAAGAAATTGGTTTAGGTCCCATAATTTTCAGAACCGACTCTGATAATAGTTATCATTGTTGAATGCATTTTTATTTCAAAGTTAAAACTGTTATTTAGTAACCTGGCAATGAAAAATCATCTATGACAAATATAAAAAAAGAAAATTTCTAAATTCATGTAAAATAGTTAAATAAAATGTAAACTCCAAAATTAATCATTTAATAAAGTAAAATTTAATTTAGTTTCCGATATGTTTACAGTCAGCTTTCTTTATTGGGTGAATTGGCTTATAATCCATAGAAAACTTGGATATTAGCAATGTACCATAGTTTTGGGGGAAAAATAGTAAGAGGGGGGGAGGAGAGATAAGAGAAAAAAAGGGTAGATAGTTAATTTTTGGGTTTAGTTAGTGTATAGGATGCAAATACTCTTCTTTATTTTACAGTCATTAACTCCTTATTAAGAATTAAAAAAAACAAGGAATGAGATAATAGATTTAGGCACAAGTCCACGTAGGTGAAGATGTCGTGCTCGTGTTGTGTTCCAAACGAAAAGCGTCTATGTTCTCTTCATGTTCCGTTTATGGGCCCCACTAGTTCTTCTTTCGTCAGTCTCCCCCCATTTCCTCTCTTTCTCTCTCACCAGAAACACACAATTTACTCACACACATCTCTCTTTGTCTCTCTACATTCTTTTATGAGTTTCGTTACATAGAAGAGAGAGAGAATCAGAGCACCCCCACAAGAGATAACTTTTTGTTCTTCCAAAATTTACATTCTACCGGAAACAGAAGAAGACTTTGCCTGATCTTTTGTAATAATACACACTACTTGCATTTGCAGGTAACTGTTTCTGAAATGCAAGTTAATATATTCTTAATTTTCGCTATTACACATCTGGTTTTGTCTTCTTTTTTTTTTCTTGGATTTTGATTTGGTGGTAGTGACATATAATGTTCAATTAACTTTGTTTTCCTCCAAGAAATTTTGAACTTTTATCTGATTTTGATATTCACCATGCTCATAGGTAATGTCATCGAACTTTTTGAAATTCACCTTTTTTATATATTTTTATTTATCTCAGGAAGAAGAGTAATTGATGTTGAAGACAATGTTACTTCACGTGGTTTTATTCTTCTTCCTAATCAGCTCTGTCGCCGGTGGCTTATCGATATGCAACTGCGACGACGACGACAGTTTCTTCACCTTCGAGGCAATCCTCCAATCGCAAAAAGTCGGCGATTTCCTAATCGCAGTCGCTTATTTCTCCATCCCAATCGAGCTTCTCTACTTCGTAAACCGCACCAACGTCCCCTCACCTTACAACTGGGTCGTCTGCGAGTTCATAGCCTTCATAGTCCTCTGTGGCATGACTCATCTCCTCGCTGGGTTCACTTACGGGCCTCATTGGGCCTGGGTCATGACAGCTGTCACTGTCTTCAAAATGCTGACTGGGATAGTCTCTTTCCTCACGGCTATCTCTCTAGTCACTCTCTTGCCCTTGCTTTTAAAAGCAAAGGTTAGAGAGTTTATGTTGAGTAAGAAGACTAGAGAGCTTGGTCGTGAGGTTGGGATTATAATGAAACAGACCGAGACTAGTTTGCATGTTCGTATGCTTACTAGTAAGATAAGAACGTCTTTAGATAGGCATACTATACTTTACACTACGCTTGTGGAGTTGTCAAAGACTTTGGGGTTAAAGAACTGCGCGGTTTGGATACCTAATGAGATTAAAACGGAGATGAATCTTACTCACGAGTTGAGACCGAGGAGTGATGAGAATGTGGGTGTTGGTGGTGGTGGTGGTGGTTATGGAGGTGGTTTTTCGATACCAATTACTGAGTCTGATGTTGTGAGGATTAAGAGAAGTGAAGAGGTGAATATGTTGAATGCTGGCTCTGCGCTTGCCTCGGTTACTAGCCGAGGCAAGCCAGGAGACCATACTGTTGGGATCAGAGTCCCTATGCTTCGTGTTTGTAACTTTAAAGGAGGGACGCCTGAGGCGATCCACATGTGTTACGCGATCTTGGTTTGTGTGCTCCCGTCGCGGAGCTGGACTTACCAAGAGCTTGAGATCGTCAAAGTTGTTGCTGATCAAGTCGCCGTTGCGATCTCTCACGCTGTGATACTCGAAGAGTCTCAGCTTATGAGGGAGAAGCTCGCGGAACAGAACCGGGCGCTTCAGGTGGCGAGGGAGAACGCGTTGAGAGCTAACCAAGCCAAAGCTGCGTTTGAGCAGATGATGAGTGATGCGATGAGGCGTCCTGTTCGGTCTATTTTAGGCTTGTTGCCTATGATGACACAAGACGGGAAGTTAGAAGAGAATCAGAAGGTTGTCGTTGATGCGATGGGGAGAACCAGCGAGCTATTGTTGCATCTTGTGAACAATGCTGGGGATGTAACACGTCCTGGTGAGATGCATTGTTTTAGTTTGCGTTCTGTTGTGAAGGAAACGGTTTGCTTGGCGAGGTGTTTATGTGTGGGGAATGGTTTTGGTTTCTCAACGGAAGTTGATAGATCATTGCCTGATTACGTCGTGGGGGATGCTAGAAAGGTGTTTCAAGTGATCTTGCATATGCTAGGAGGTTTGGTGAACAGGGAGATCAAAGGGAATGTGAGTTTCTTGGTTAAACCGGAAAGCAGTGGAAACTCAGAAGTAGGTAGCCAAGAAGCGGTTTGGCGACAATGCTATTCCAAAGAGTACATCAAAGTTAAATTCGGATTCGAGGTAGAGACTGTTACTAGTAGTAGTAGTAGCGTTACGAGCTTCAACATCAGTGAAGATATTGTAAAGGTTAGACATCTTTTGTGTTTGTTGTTGTCAGCTATTTGTAGGTAAAGATATGTTAATGGGGTCTTCTTGGTTTGTGACACAGTTAATGCAAGGGAACATTAGGGTGGTGGAAGATGGTTCAGGTTCGGTGAAAAGGCTCTCGGTTGTTTTCAGGTTCCAGCTTCGGCGATCTATGCTGCCACTAGGCGGTGGATATTCTGGAGAAAGTATTAAAACAGCAACTAGTAGCGATCATTGGCGTCAGGAAGAGATAAGATAAGGGGTTGATTATGAAAATTTGTATTGAGAAAATGGTTAACTAAAGATGGTTGTATAAACCTGAAAATTATAAGGTTTATGAACCAACCTATCATTGTAGACTTGTTACTTCATACTGTTAGATAACAGAATTTTAAAAAGTTACTAGATTTTAACCCGCGCAACCGCGCGAGATCTGTTTTCATATTTATATACATATATATTAGTTTTATATCATTAATAACGTTAGTCATATGTTTAAATGTTTGTATAATTATTACAAATATAATAATTTTATAGCTTGTATGTTAATATCAATTGTTTCAATAGTTTCTTTTTATATACTTATCTTATTGGATTTATATTTAATTATTAATATTAATATATGCATGAAAATCATATTTGAAAATTACTTTATATTTAATTTATACTAAATTATTATCTGAGTTTTAAAGCTAGATTACCGTTTAGCAAACTTTTTATGTTTATATAGATAATATGATATTATAAAAGTTTAAGATATGTTAATTTTATATATTTATTTATAGTTACTAATCTTAATCCACTGTGCCAATATATTTTATATTTTTAAAATTAATATTTTCTATTTTTGAAAATAAAATTGATTAATTTATCAATTTAATATAATTTTATAACATTCACTTTATTATAATAATTTTCATTTAATATGATAGATTATGATTATGAAATAGATAAAAAGAATAACATTTTTTATTATATATATATATATTAATGTATAATTATTTTCATTACTAATCCGAGTTTTTACAAGTTATTAATTAGTAAAATATTTATATAATGTTTTTAAAGTTAAGATCTTGCTAAAATCTTTTCAATAGATTTGTTAAAAAAAAATTAATACATATTTAAAATAGAAAGATATCAAAAGATATTATGATTAAAGTGGTTACAAAGAAACGAAATATATTTAATAAATTTTTTTTTCTAATGGTCCAAATGAAAAAAATCACACATGAAATAAGTCATGACTTCTCTTTTAATATAATAGATATATATGTCGGAGGATGTTTCTTTCTGTTATTGTCCCATCGATATCGTTAAACGTTTGAAGGGAAGAAAATGGATTAATATTTACAATCTTAGATTAGCAATCTTTTAAACGGGTAAATCCCATGGACCAAGTGAATTAACATTTTTTAAAAATCATTAGATTTCGACCCACACAACCGTGCGGGTATTTTAATACAAAAATATTTGAAATTATATAATAAAATTTATCAAAAAATAAGTATAATTTGATTATGTATGCTATCTAATTTTATAATAATTTTTATATGACTTATAATATTATTAATATAAAATTTATAAATTTGTATTTTTGTAACAATTTTTAAAAACATTATTATGTAAGATTACTTATTTATATATACTGTTTTATTTCTATTTTGTAATCTATGTAAAAATTAATTAAGTTGGACTTACATAATACATAAACAAAATTTTGGGATACTGTTAAAAGTATTTTACATAATTTTTTGTTTATAAATTAAAAAGGAATTAAAATTTTAATTATATTTTATGATAGTTAAAATTTTAATCAAATAATTTTTGAAACTATATCTTGAAAAAGATTCTAAAAGATTTTTAAAAGATTTTGTTAGAATTTTATTAAAACTATTTATTTGTATTTCAAACAAAAATTAAAGATATGAAAAGATATTATAATGTAAAATTTTATAAAACTCTAAAGATGGTCCAAACTAAAATATCACACATGAAGTGAGTCATGACTTCTCTTTTAATATAATAGATGTAGTCGAAGAGTTTATTGGTGTAAATTTATCATTTTTTAGACCCATATATAAACAAAAATCTAAGATATATATTCGCTTTTGATTCTTTATAAATTTTATCTTTCACACACTCTCAAATATTAAAAACATGGATCAAGCTTTTTCTAATCATAAAACTAATTAAAATTTCATTACTGTAAATCTTTCTTCTGACATCTAAAAAAATGTAATAAAAATAATAAAACAAAGCTTAAAAACTAGTGATTCTAAAATTTCAAAAACTTGTTTGAAAACAAAGATACAATTAGAAACATTTTGTTATAAGGTAATTAGATCCAAAAACATTACTATAATTGAAGGGTAATTTTCCTCTCTGTGTGTGTGTTTTTACCCCTTGAAGAGCTGTTTCGTGCGACCTCTCTCTCTCCTCTCTATTTATCTTCTCTTTCTATCTTTCTTCCGTCGTCTTTTGTTTTTGTTCTCTCTCTGTAGAATCTCCGGAGCTACCACAACAACGAATAACCTTCGCTTTGCTCTTTCTTCCACCATCTCAGGTTCGAATCGATCTACACGATTATCCACCACCATAAGTCCCCTTTCAATATCGCTTTTTGATTTTGCGCGGCTTTAGGTTCCAATACCAATAACAATAACAATAAGCCCCGATCGTTGGATTTTATTAGGTTTCGGATTGGTTTCTTTATGGAGAGATTGTAGTTTTTGATAGGAATTAAGTTTCGGTTTCTAATTTAGGGTTTATTGCCAATCGGTTAATCTGATTTGGGGTTTTAAGCGCTTTGATTCAAAAACATGGAGATTCGATTTGGATCGCTGATGATGATGATCTTGCTTGTTCTTGATACATAACAGTGACCATTATCAATTGCTTTTTGTTAGCTAGTCTTATTGTTTTCGAATTAGTTTTATTAATTTATTTGTTGCAATGGTTATGGTTGAAGGAGGGAGAGGTTTGACGAATAGAAAATCAGAATGGCAGAGAGTGTTGGTGAAGTTTGTGGAGTGGGAAGATCAGTAGAGGAGAGCTCAAATGGAGGAGAAGCAGTCTCTAAGTGGAGGTCTTCTGGTCAAGTTGAGAATGGGACGCCGTCTACATCTCCTCCCTCTTACTGGGACACCGATGATGATGATGATCAAGATTACGGTATGTTTTTTCTTTTTAATCTTTCCTAAAATGCTTTTTAAAAGTGAAAGTGCGTGCAGTTGGACCTCATTTCTATGTTGTTTCTTTTTGAAAAGTTTGCATCATATCTGAAAACACGCTATGGACGCAGTGCAGTTCCCTTTTTCTGTGTATTATATCTGTATTCATGGTTTGCTGTTAATACCAGCATGGTCTTTTTGCTTCTCTTATCAGTTGATACGTTTTCATCTTTGATTTAGCAAATGCATGCAGCTAAAAATGCAATTGTTTGGTAGAAAACTAGCGTGCTATAGGCTTTTATCTTTTTTTTTTTCGTGAAGAGTTCAGTTTTTGTATTGAATTCTACCATGTAAATAGAAAAGAGGGACATTCTTAGTAGTATTCTCCTTTGTTTCCTTTTCCGCCTTAGTCTACTCTTATCTGTTTTCAGCTGTTTAATGTTAACTTTTTTTTATTTTTCCTAGGCCTTAAACCCTCTCAGTTATTTGGGAAACATACTTGGAAGATACCTAAATTCTCAGAAATCAACAAAAGGGAGCTCCGTAGCAGTGTTTTTGATGCTGGCGGCTACAAATGGTACATTTCATATTTTTTTATCTTTCTCATCCTAAAATTTTGTCTCACAATATTAAACTTGAGATTGGGTTTTTAAGGATCTGTTTGGTTACCTTCTTCTTCTTCGTGACAGGTATATTTTAATTTATCCACAAGGATGTGATGTTTGCAATCATCTTTCCTTGTTTCTCTGTGTTGCAAATCATGAGAAACTTCTTCCAGGTTAGTAGTTCTGTCCACTGTTCACCATGGCCCCGTTTCTCTCTTTGGATACCTGGTTATGTATGTTCTTTTGCTATCTTTGAAACAGGCTGGAGTCATTTCGCTCAGTTCACTATAGCTGTGGTGAATAAAGATTCAAAGAAATCCAAGTTTTCAGGTGAGTTTTCCGAGTCTTTACTAGCTTACCCCTTTTTATATGCAGACAACTGAACTCAACTCTTGCAGATACGCTGCATCGGTTTTGGAAGAAAGAGCATGATTGGGGATGGAAAAAGTTTATGGAGTTACCAAAGTTACATGAAGGGTTCATAGATGATTCTGACTCTCTTACGATTGAGGCTCAAGTTCAGGTGATCAGGTAATGCAAAATTGACTCTATGTAGAGCATGAGTAAAAAACTACCACGTCCATTTTTCTGTGCTACCATTCACTTGCCGCACCACAAGCTCATTTTTTTTCCATTAAAAACATATGTGATATTCTTTATTTATGGTGTCATTGATTAATGAATTGTGATAATTTCCCTTTAAATGTTCCTTGCAGGGAGAGAGTGGACCGACCTTTTCGCTGCCTTCATTGCGGTTATAGGAGAGAGCTGGTTAGGGTGTATTTTAATAACGTAGAGCAACATTGCCGACGTTTTGTCGAAGAGAAAAGAAGCAAGCTTGGGAGGTTGATAGAGGACAAGGCAAGATGGACGAGGTATTTCACAATGCAACTTATATCCTTAGCTCTCTAGATTCCGGAAATATAATCATATTTAATTGCCATTTGTGAAGATAATTAAGCAGGAAGTAGCTGTGGTTTCCTTTTCTTCGGAGGAAACCTTGCTATGTATAGAACTATCTTGTTTTCCACAATGCGTTCGAAGTCCTATTTAAACTAGCTTTAGTTTCAAATTTAAATTTTTATTTGGTTGCTATGGCTCTACACTATCTCTGATTTAAAAGTCTTGTTAGCCAAGGAAGTTGAGATGCTGAGGCGGATAATCCCTTAAAGAGGATGTGGTCTTTTTTCTTAGTTCACACACTTGTTGAAGGCCAGAATTTACACCAATCTAGTATATTACAGTTGCCTTACTTTTATATTTATTGTGATATCTTTCTCTCTAAATCTGAGCAATTTTGCCTTAAATGAAATGGATATCGTTCTTTGTTGCAGCTTCGGTGTTTTCTGGTTAGGGATGGACCAAAACTGTAGGCGTCGGATGTCTAGAGAGAAAATGGACGTTATACTAAAAGGAGTTGTAAAACACTTTTTCATAGAGAAGGAAGTTACATCCACTTTGGTGATGGATTCCTTGTATAGTGGATTAAAGGCTCTTCAAGGCCAAGCTAAAAACAAGAAAGCTAGGCCAAGTTTGTTAGATGCCAAGGAATTGCCAGCTCCGATTGTTAATGTGGACAAAGATATGTTCGTATTAGTTGATGATGTGCTGTTGCTCCTAGAGAGAGCTGCTCTAGAACCATTGCCTACACATGAGGATAAAAGTCCCCAAAACCGTACAAAGGTTGGTTTCATTGGTTGTATATATATTTGTTTTGCCTGAATTTCCATTACCTGTGACGCGTATCTGCATTTGTTTTATTTTTATTTTTGTCGTTTGTACTATCCATTTTTCTGTTTCAGAGGACGTGTTGCATTGTCCACTAGAAAAGAATATTACTTGTATTGATTTTTGTGTTCTTGGGTGCAAAACTAGGATGCCAATGATGGAGAAGAGGTCAACAATGAAGTCGTTGAGCGTGATGAGAGACGTTTAACTGAGTTGGGTAGACGAACCGTGGAGATTTATGTTCTAACCCATATCTTCAGGTAACAATGCACGATATATTTTTGTACGGTATTCTGTTTTGTTCTTCGTTGCTGTGCTTATGTATCGTACTTCAATATCTCTGAGAACTGCAGCAGCAAAATCGAGGTTGCATATCAAGAAGCTATTGCGCTAAAAAGGCAGGAAGAACTGATTCGTGAGGAAGAGGAAGCGTGGTTAGCAGAAACAGAACAGAGGGCCAAAAAAGGAACAGCAGAGAGGGAGAAGAAATCTAAAAAGAAACAGGTGTGATACTCTTTCTGCTGTTACAAAAAATCTAATTTTGCTCCTCCTGCTTGTTGGGATGTTGATGAGAGTTCTTTGGTTGTTTAACATTCATAGGCGAAACAGAAACGGAACAAAAATAAAGGGAAGGACAAAAGGAAGGAAGAAAAGGTGACCGTTGCAACACATGAAAAGGATCTTAAGGAGAACCAACATGAAGAGGAAGAAAAGGATTCTGTCACCGAGAAAGCACAATCCTCAGCTGAAAAGACTGATATTCTTGGAGATGTGTCAGACGTATCTGATTCTGCGGATGGTTCAGTCGACATTCTTCACCCTGATTTAGAAGATGGAGACAGTAGCTCGCTTCATTGGGATGCTGACACCTTGGAAGCTCATCCTCCTCCATCAGGAGGGAGCGACATTTCCATATCCACACCCAATGGAATTGGAGAAAGAAAGAATCAGTACACAGTGGATGATAGTTCCTCAACTTGTTCTAATGATTCTATCCGGTCAGGGGTTACCAATGGCAATGGGTCATACAAAGGGAATGCCTTGAATTTCCGAGACCAGAAGTCACCAAATACGTAAGTTTGTTTTCACCTCCCTCTGCTTCTGCTGTCTGTGCTGATTCCTTATAAGATACCTTGTGATTTGCAGAGGAACGAACCACCAAGCAAAAGTGAAATCTGAATCCCGGAGCTTAGTGAATGAAGCAGATGACCAACCTTCAACACTTGGAACAGAATCAAAGAGTCAAAGTTCGCCATCCGAATCTGATTGGGTTGTTGTCTCCCGCATCCAGGAGCCAGATAGCTCTCGGAATCGTAGTCCCGTTAGGAAGGTTGGTCACTCATGCTTTTAATGTTTGGATAAGATCTCATAAGTGCGATGCTGATGGAATTATAACAAATTCCTTGTGCAGGAACGCAACGTCGCTCCAATCATTGTGAACTCGGTTGACATGGATCGACTAAAAGTGAAAAGCGCTGCTGTACTTTCTTCTCCCAGAACTGCTGCCAAGAATCCTTCACCATTAACTCAGACAAAGCCAGAGAAAAAGAGCGTTTCAAACGCAGACCCTGCTCCAAATAGGAAAGCAATGTCAGCTCATGGGCCACCTTCATCAAGTCAAGTAGTGCGGCCTTCTTCAGATATTCAGTCACAAACCATTGGTCTGAGATCTGATATGCAAAAGATGTCTGCTCCAAAACCGTCTGCAACAACAACAGCAACTATATCAAGACCTTCTAGTGCTCCAATTATCCCGGCGATGCAACCTGCCCCTATCATCTCCTCCTCTTCGGTTCAATCAACATCATTCCTTCCTCGGTCGGTTAGCTCAGCTGGTCGTCTAGGTCCCGACTCTTCGGTACACAACCAACAAACTTACATTCCTCAGTCTTATAAGCATGCCATAGTCGGTAACTCTCCCGGTTCAGCATCTAGTTTCATCCACCACTCAAGCTCTCATGGAGTTGTCCCAACCACATTGCCATCATCATCTTACTCACAAACACCGACATTATCTCATCAGTCAAGCTTCCCTTTCAGTCAAGATGCGCTTATGTGGGCAGGAAGGAGTTCAAATTCTTTAAACATGGGCATGAACAGCCCTTACACACAAACCATGACTAACAACAGATCTGTAAGCCACATTGATGTTGAGATTGCGCGACAACAACAACCACAAAGCTTGATGACCGACGAGTTCCCTCACCTTGACATCATCAACGACCTGCTCGAAGACGAAAGCTGCAGCAACATGGCGTTCAATGGAAGCATATACAATTCACAACCGCAGCTTTTCAACAGCCAATACGCTTACCATAATAACGGTGGTGGTGATCTAGGCATCTCAGGTGAGTTTATGTCTAGTGGCAGGTCCAGGAGTTTCGGAGATGAAGGATTCCATTACATGCCACGTGTCTCTGCAGCCGGACCATACGGTGCGGATGGTTTGATGCCGCCGACGCAGTGGCAAATGGCGAACATGGACTTGTCTTTATTAGCTATGAGGAACAGTAACTTGGAAGATACAGCACCAACATACCATCACAACACATATCAGAGTTTTTCGCCTGGGATTAATGGCTACACTGAGTACAGACCTTCGTCTAATGGCCACTGAGTGACGAGGAAATGAAGCAAATGAAATTTGGGATTTGTAATGTTTTTTAATCAAAAAAAGAAAAAGAAAAAGAAATTACGATTACAGTTTGTGTAAAGAGAGTTTCTCTTCTCTACGTTTCAAATGAATTTACTTTTCTTTTTTAATATAAGATAGTTTTCAACATTCTTCTATAGACAAACTTTTGCTTCCTACAATTGTGGTATGAATAATAATAGTGAATTCTGTTTTAAACTAATAACTAAAATATAACGTTATTTTCGTGCCAACGTAATAGTTTTCTTTTTCATTACTGTTAGAAATAAAAGACGGATAAACAATAATGTTGATAGATAAATACAAAAAAAAGTGCGCCTTTCAGACAGATGAGATAAAAAAAACTGCTGTTCCAAAAAAAAAAAAGTGTCGGAAGGGAAAAAGCATGAACCTAGAATTGGTGAAGCAGTATCTTGAAGGAGCGAAGAAAGATGAAGAGAGCAAGGAAATGGAATCGAAAGTAGCGAAATTACCACCGAGATTCATCGAGAGATTCGTGACGAAAGGAATTAAAGTAGATCTCATCGAAACTGGTCGAATCATCTGCTCCATGAAAGTCCAACCTCATCTCCTGGTAATAACTTAAATTAAAAATCCTAATTTTTCCATTTTCCCCCAAACTGATTTTGGAATTTTGGTGAGTTGGGAAGAACGCAGGCAATTTCTTACACGGAGGAGCAACGGCGACTCTAGTGGACTTGATAGGATCAGCTGTAATTTTCACGACAGGAGTTACATCCTCTGGAGTTTCAGTTGAGATCAATGTTTCTTACCTCGATTCTGCTTTCCTTGATGTAAGTTTTTTTTAGATTCCTGAAAATTGAGGAGGAAGCCAAATTCAGTTTATGTTAGTTATATGGTTGGTGATTTTTTTTTTTATATATACAGGAAGAGATAGAGATTGAAGCGAAGGCTTTGCGTGTGGGTAAAGCAATAGCAGTTGTGAGTGTTGAGCTGAGGAAGAAGAAGAATGGTAAGCTTATAGCTCAAGGTCGTCATACTAAGTACCTTGCTCCCCGTTCTAAGCTTTGAATCTTACTATTCTTTACTAGTATCGTTTACACCTTCAAAACAAATAAGAATCGGTTTGTCTTGTCTCATCATGAGTTTATGTTAATTACATTATTAAGCTATGTTTTATTCTCTGTCTAATGCTACTACTAGAAAACTATGTTGAAGAAGTTAAAAACGGTTTGTATATCTACACTTCAAACATACACGTGCTTACCGGCATAATCTTTGCAATCTTTTTTCTTCTGCTCTGCTTTGCTTCTACTATAGTTGTCAGGATAATTACACTAATCTAAGGCTCTTTTGTATTACTAGTTTAGTTTAGTGTAGTACTGTCCTTGCCAACACTCATGACATGACACACATAGTTTACTTGAAACTCAAGTTTTATGGCTGCCTAGGTTACTTGTAAAGCTCCAAGTTTTATCCATCTTTCTAATCCGGTTATTTTAGGTAAATACCCTAAATCATTCTGGAATTTTTTTTGCATGATGTAATGGCCAATTAGTGAGTGAGTGAATCACTTTTTACTAGCGCTTTTTTTGTTGTAAAATTGGACATAAACTAGCATTCTTTTATCTTGACATACTTTAACTCTTGTTAAAAGGGAAAACAGTCTAGGATTTTCTTCTTTCTATAGTTATATTTCTTGTCTTTAATAGCACTTTTTTGTTATAGACTTGTGCATTTATAACTAACCACCACTTTATTTCCCTGGCAAGATTTTCTAACTTCATTTTGCGATCGATGAAAACGAGTTTTCTCTTTATGTGTGTGTGTTACACGAGTTTAGTTAAAGATCAGAATAAAGATGACAAAGGTGAGAACATAATCATGTTAAGGACAAAGATGTGGTGGTGGATCAGTGTTGTTAAAAAATTTAGGTTGTCAGGTTGAAATATGTTTGTTGAGATTTTATTCTTCTTTTTTTTTTTTGCTTGTTAGTTAGTGTTACTATCTAATAGCCATCGCGGCAGAATAAGGTACAAAATATACAATTAATTACATGATGCATAGAAACTGTTAGATCGTTTATAAACCCGTTATATAATGCCATAATCGTAAGTAAATAAAAATTGATGACTGGTGTCTCATAAAGCTTCAACAATCTTAGCATAGATATGGAATACTGAATTGAAAACGATTATTTATCATAAAATTCAAATATGTAGTTTATTTACAAAAAAAAAAAAATGTAGTTATGAATTCAGAACTAATCAAGTAGTGGTACCTCTATGCAACGTATGTGACAGATTGCAAAATAATTTATTATGGAGTAAACAGTATTCTAATTTATTTATTTTAAATTCTATGCAACGTATGTGAAAGATTGCAAGATAATTTATTATGGAGTAAACAGTATTCTAATATGTTTATTTTTAATCTAAATATCAAAATTTAACTGTAAGTAAAATGTTACTAACACGTTTTCGATTTGAGGTACCTAACAAAACCGGTATTAACATTTAAAAGTTTATTGATATCATAAGAAAAATGGGCTCTGTCACGGATGATATAGATTTCAAACAATAATAATATAGTACTAGGATAAGACCCGCGCCTTGCGCGGGACGAAGCTATTATTTTTATTATGCTTTTAAAAATGAAACAATAGTTCGGTTTCATTCAGATTAGAGGTGTTCAATCCGGATATCGGGTTTCGGTTCGGCTCGATTTTTTGGTATTTCGATCATTAAAATATAACTACTATTCAAAATCTATATGTACTTTAGTTTGATTTGGTTTATATACCATCGGTTTTCAGTTTATTCAATTTTATACCAAAAAACATAATTATTTAGTTTGAGATCATATTATATATTATACAAATATATAATATGATCATATTTAGAGTCATATTGTCACAAAGTCATTTCTTAAAAAAATATTCTATATTTAAATAAAAAAATAAAAAACAAAAAGGCTTCTATCATCTAATAAAATGATCAAATATAGAATTAATATCAAAACACTAAATTTTGAAAATAAAAAACAAAACAGAAGCATGAAAGAAAAGTTTTTATATTCTTCCATATTTAGTGTTCATCAAACCAATATGTCTTCGATTGAACACAACTATGTTTGTTTAAAGATAAAAAAAGTTGTAAAGAATTTCAACTAATTGTTGTCCATCAAATTTATAATGTTTACTTCAATTTAGTTACAGTTAAAAAAGCATCAAAATAAGAAGTCTTAGTTATAATAAATTGTTAGCTATTTACAAATTATAATTATAGTTCAACTCATGTAACAAATAGATATTCATGCGTCGTTATAAATATATACATATTTACATGTTTCGGTTTAATCGATTATAAATCAAACCATATCCAAATCCTATGGTTTTTATAAAATCACATCCATTCGGTTTGTATGGTATATACCAAAAATCCTCTATATATTAATTGAGGAACATTTGAAAAGATATAACCTCAAGTTTGTAATAATTAAAAAATAACCTTGCTGAATTGTCAATCAATTAACATGCCAATTAATCTGACGTGCTAGCTTTAGGTTCAATTGGAAAAAAAATGTAGGTCCGAAATCGATTATATATTTCGCTAGGGAAACATTAATATCACACGCATGTACATTTAAATGTAAGACTATAAAACTCGATATACATTAATATCACACGTATCACATGGAAGACTTACATAAGCTTCCATATAATAAATGGAAATAGAAAAATAGAAAGTATGATTCACATAGAGAAATAGAAAAACTTACATGCGATGGAAGAAAGCTTCTGGAATCGTGCTTGGGATTTCTTATCTTTTCCTTTTAATTAACGCAAGTCTATATGTAAAATGAAAAATACTTTGTGACCAAGTTAAAATTTAATATGTCGCAAAACATAAATATCCCTTATATATTAAAAGAAATATTTGAAAAATTGTAACCTCAATTTTGTAATAATTAAAAAAGATCACATGCTTAGGTGTCATTCAATTAGGTAATCAATTACATTCAATTGAGAAATAAGTATGTTTACATTCGATTTTTATATGTCGCTAGATGTATTCTTTGGTCAAACTATATGATATGATGATATGATATGATATTTAGAATAAAAACATTTATGACTGTTCCGCTAGATATATTACTATTTTATTTTCTTTCCTTAAATAAAACCTACGAAATTACCATAAATGACTAATATATATATGATAATTAATGATTTTAATAGTAAATATTGATAACAATTTATATCTCCTCCATCATTTTTATTGAATTTTATATTATTAAAATAAATTAAACAATCAAATTAGTTATAAAATTAAACTTTAGATTTTTTTCGTATATATTACATTTTGAGTTTACAAAACGAGAATAAGTGACTAAAACTATTAAAATTACTATGTTAAAAATTAATGATCAATAGTTGAACATTTTTATTATAAAAAGATACACATGATTTTTATACCATATGAGTAAAAAGTATCATTCAATAATATATATATATATATATTAAACTATATACCATATAAGATTACATAAATATTTTAGTTTCAAAAATGTCAATGAATTTTCAAGAACATTTATAAATTATAAACTTATTAAATTTTTTACATTGAAATTTTTTTTATCAATGATTTAAATATATTAGTTCTTTTTTTATAATTTTATATTGTTAAAAGATATTAAACAATCAATAATATGTTTTTTTTGTATATACCATTAAGTATGAATGGATGTGATTTTATTAAAACTGTAGGATTTGGATATGGTTTGATTTATAACCGATTAAACTGAAACATATAAATATGTATATAGTTATAACGACACATGAGTTGAACTATTATTACAATTTCTAAATCACTTGAATCACTTGAACTATAATTAACTAACAATTTAGTGAGGTTTCTTATTTTCTTATTTTTTTATCTTTTTGCTTTATAAATAAACATAAATAATAATTATAAATTTGATAGACAACAATTAGTTGAAATTCTTTACAACTTTTTTTATCTTTAAATAAACAGAGTTTTGTTCAATCGAAAACATATTAATTTGATGAAAACATATGGAAGAATATACAAACTTTTCTTTCATTCTGTTTTGTTTTTTTATTTTTATTTTCAAATTTAAAACTTTGATATTAATTTCAGATTCATCATTTTATTAGATGATAGAAGCCCTTTTTATTCTTTTATTTAAATATATAATATTTTTTAATAAATGACTTTTTGACAATATGACTCTAAATATGATCATTATATATTTGTATAATATATAATATGATCTCAAACTAAATAATTATGTTTTTTGGTATAAAACTGAATAAACTGAAAACCGATGGTATATAAACCAAATCGAATCCAAGTAAATATGGATTTAGAATATTAATTATATTTTAATAAATAAAATACCAAAAAATTGAACCTAACTAAAACCCAATATCTGGATTGAACATCCCTAATCCAAATGAACCAAACTATTGTTTCATTTTCCAAAATATAATAAAAATAACAATTTCATCCCGCGCAAGGCGCGGATCTTATCCTAGTAACCATATTATTGATTGTTAATATCTTTTAAAATATAAAATTAAAAAAAGAACTAAGATATTTAAATCATTGATAACAAAAAATTTCAATGTGAAAAATTTAATAAGTTTATAATTTATAAATGTTCTTGAAAATTTATTGGAAATTTTGAAATTAAAATATTTATGTAATCTTATATGGTATATAGTTTAATCTGTATATATATTTGTTTTATTATTGAATGATCTTTTATCTAGCAACCTATAAAAATCTAATGTGGACTTACTTATTTTTCAATTGAATCTAATTGACTACCTAATTGAATGACACCTATGCATTAGGGTCTCTTTTAATTAATACAAAATTGAGGTTACATCTTTTTAAATGTTCCTCAATTAATATATAGGGGATTATTACTACGTACTGTCGAATAACAAACATTGAAAAACCAAAATTTACTTTATAAAAAAATATACTCCTGAAAAAGTCAAGACACAATAGATGAGAAGATTAAAAAAAAACATAAGTATAAATCAGTTGTCATGGTGTGTTGAGTTAGTGCGTCCCCTCACAGTCTCAATCTTCATCCCAAACACGCTTTTTTAGACTTTTCAATTGCAAGAAGGCAAGAATGATTAAACCTTCAGGTAATGCTTGTCCTGTCTCTACCTTCGTTTACCACTAGACAAATACAAACACTTTAATAATTAAATTATATTCTTCTTTTAAGTCGTTTCTCTCTCTTGTTGGTTTGTTAAATTTGTTTGCTATAGAAGGAACGCGAGATGTCTCTAGTGGTGGTTGTAAATCACTTAATCTCAACCACGTCCTCCTTGCTTCTCTTGGTGGTCTTGCCGCCGCTGCCGCTGCTTTTGCCGGAGAATCTCTCCTTCGCCGCAGGAGAACTCATCAAGGTGATTTTATGGGGAACAAAGATCAGAAAATAGCTCCTTTGATTGAGAGAAAAGATTCAAGTCGACGATCAAACCTAGAGAGATTCTCTTACTATGTTGGTACGTATTCTTGCATCTGTCATACATTTTTACGAATGAACTTTGCTAAATCTTTAACCGAAAACATAAATTGCAAATAGTTTCTAATTAAGAAGAAAGAAAATATAGAATTGATATTGACCAGGAGATTATAATAATAGCAAAAATATATTGTATTTATTGGGAAGAAAAAGATAAATAATGATACTACTATTCTTTGCACATGGAAGGATATGTACAAAATCAGAATTGATGAGGGTTTATTATAGTTTTGAAAGTACCGAAGCTTGTAACAGAACAATACTACTACATTTAGCAATTTTGGCATGGTTTTTTAGATTAAAAATATCCTTTATTTTAATATTATGTTTATACTTTGAAATATTTAACTCCAATTCTTGAAATATCCAACTCTTACGCAAGTCTATAACTTATGGTGATGGGGGATTTAATAGATTACATACACGTGCTACTTTCTCCATAAATGCTAGAAAGAGCTTTCACAAAAGGGGACCTTTTGTAAAATTTAAATATTGTATGTAAGCAAATATATTTATCTTTTATATTTGTTTTTTTTTGTGCACCATATTTATGTATCTTCTATATAAGAAACTTTGCACGTGTATTTTTTGATAAGTGTTAGCATATATGCAAAATGCAGCAAGGCAGCTAGGAATTGAGGATCCAAATGAATGCCCACAACTATGCAAACTGGCAAATGCATATTTGATGAAAACAAAAGGATATGATGAGAATGTGTATGCGTATTTGGTCAATGAAGCTGATGCTGATTCTCTCTATATCCATCTCCTTGAAGAATTCGAAAGATGCATTCTCACGTATTTTGCTTTCAACTGGACTCAATCGTCCAACCTCATCTCTCAGGTACTCATTTCATATCAAAATCAACCTGATCTGCGTATTTTTTTTTCTAAGTATATATTTGTATTATCTAATTTACTTATATTCTATGTGGCATACTTATTAACATGATTTATTTCGTAATCATAGAATCATTCAAAAGTTGTACTTTATTTATTTGATTGTTGGTTAGTATTCAACTTTCCGCTGGGTGGAGTAGGTTAGACCATTACCAATCTCCAATAATGCGTATGAATAGTCAATATTATCTAATTATTTATCCATAACAACGACAGATATTAAGCGACGAGTCGGATCAGAAAGTACCAAAACTCAAGGATTTCGTGATGGCAGCAACAAGGTGATTGGATTGTTCCATGTTCCATAATTTTAATTACATGGTCTCACAACTATCAATTACATATATAGATAGACATACATTGATTTTTTTTGCTTAAAGACATACATTGATTGACTAATGCATATACTTAACTATATGAATTGCCTAATCATGGTGATGGCGCGTTGCTTCCATTGTTAGCCTTAGGTCACATTTTCCCTGCTGTGATAATGATTCTTTTTTTTTGTCAACCTGTGATAATGATTCCAACTTTATTCATTTTAAATAAATTATCATCATTAACAATTTTAAAAAAAAAAACTTTGTAGAACTTACTGACTAATTTTGTTTAATATAATTAATTCAGGAAACAGAGGTTCGAGAGAGTAACAAATGATCTAAAGGTGAAAAGGGTATTTTCAACATTAGTAGAAGAGATGAAAGCCATAAACATCGGCAGAAGCGGCAGTAGCGGTGAGCCACATTGTACGGAAGTGATGTCTCCGGTGGCTCATAACAAACGGAGCCCCGTTCTCCTCCTCATGGGCGGTGGAATGGGCGCCGGAAAAAGCACCGTCCTCAAAGATATCCTCCAAGAGTAATGTTTTAATAAAAGTTTGCATGCTTGTATTTATATGCATGCATTTAGCTATATACAATTATACAAAGCCAACTAAATTATATTTTTGTAGGCCGTTTTGGTCAGAGGCAAGGGGCGACGCAGTGGTGATAGAAGCTGATGCGTTTAAGGAGACTGATGTTATCTATAGAGCTCTTAGTTCTAGAGGTCACCACGACGATATGCTTCAAACTGCTGAATTGGTGAGTTTATTATTTTAAAATCTCTAGGCTCTATAACAAACGGACTACATATAACGTGGGATATAAGAATTAAAGACTGCATTATGTTAATTTTATTAAACATGTTACATATTTTTGGTTGCTCCTTATATGTAGGTGCACCAATCATCTACTGATGCTGCATCGTCCTTACTAGTAACAGCATTAAACGAAGGACGTGATGTGATAATGGATGGAACCTTATCATGGGAGCCATTCGTGGAACAAATGATAACAATGGCTAGGAACGTCCACAAACATAGATATAGAATGGGCGTAGGCTACAAGGTGTCTGAAGACGGGACAACAACCGAAGAATATTGGAGAAAAGAAGAAACCGAACAAAATAGGAAACAACAAAACTTGAAACCTTATAGAATCGAGCTGGTCGGTGTAGTTTGTGATGCTTATCTCGCCGTAGTAAGAGGCATACGGTAAAAAAAGATAAAAAAAATCTATTGTTCTCAAAACATTTTAGTCGAATCATATTGGATTTATTGTGCTTGTAATTTAACAGGAGAGCTTTAATGGTGAAGAGAGCAGTGAGAGTGAGATCTCAGCTCAAATCACACAAGAGTTTTGCTAATGCATTTCCAAAGTATTGTGAGCTTGTTGATAACGCTAGGCTTTACTGCACAAACGCTGTTGCTGGTCCTCCAAAGGTAAAAACGTCAATATTAACGTTATCTTTTACCTAAAGGGATACTAACATGTATTTTTTTTTAAATCAGCTTATAGCGTGGAAAACTGGAGATAGTAACCTTCTGGTGGATCCAGTGGAGATTGAATGTCTGAAACGGGTCAGCAATCTTAACCCGGATGCAGAATCCATTAACGAGCTTTACTCGGATCCGAGCGTATTAAGCAAGCCCGGTTCAGTTTGGAGTGATGTCGTTTTAGCCCCATCTAGGCCAACGCTTCAGAAGCAACTCACCGATGCCATCAAGAAAATCGAGAAGGTCCAAGCGACAAAGTGATGTATTGTTAATTAGCCATTAAAAAGTTGTTGTCTTTTGCTAATTTCGAGCTATTTTCTTTGTACGTACGTTTCTCTTATTTTTTGTGCTAGTCTAAATAACTTAATAAATTAGTAAACGGATTTTGCAAATTTTTAGCTACTTCATATGCGTATTTGAACCAGATTTTAAAAGTTAACTAGATTTTGACCCGCGCTTGAAAGCGCGAAAATTTTTTATGATTAAAAATTTATATAATTGGGTTTTGTCTTAATTTAAAGAATGTTTTAGTATAAAATCAGTTCACCAAAATTTGTGGTGATGATTGTTTTTTATTAGTTTTTAGTTTCAGTTTTTATTTTTAGATTTTGGTTTTTGGTTTTTAGTTTTTAAGTTTCTAATTTTGATTTTAAGCTTTTGGTTTGTGCTTTTAATATTTAGACCCATTGAGTTAGTTTGAACTGATTTTACCAACAAACAAATCCTAAATAATCGAACATCTAATTTAAAACTGAAAAGATGACAAAAGACATTTTTCAATAGTTTATTTTGTAAATAAACAAAAACAAAAAAAATATAACTTGTGTTTTCATCTTTTGGTTTTTAGATTTGGTTTTTGGTTTTGCTTTACATTTTTTTAATCAGTAAATTATTTAAGAAAAAAAAAATTATTTAAAAGTTACCATTGAAATTTATCAAAATAAAGTGATTTTTATTTAAAATAAAAAATAGATTAACATGTTTTAAAGTACATGATTTAAATAAATGATTAATAATAGACATTCTTGTTTTGTTAAAAATATTAAAACCTTTAGGGCCTAAAAATAATAATTGATTTTTGATCTATTAAGGTGGAAAGTTTATCCAGTGTTTTTGGAGTTTTTCCTTAATACTAAGCCCAAAAACTAAACTATATAATTTGTTCTAAAAACAAAAGTAATCTCAAGACTATATCTCATAAATAACTATCGGTTTAATTTAAGTAATGCGGTTTAATTAATTATATGATTTGTGTTAAATATTTGTAACACTCTAGAAATGATCCAAATTTAAACGACAACTTGTATCAGTAGATAAAAAGAATGACTCTATTTTAATAGAGTAGTACTCACATAATAACGAGTGCATACTTTTAGGAGGTATGATTTTCCTCATAATGTATTTTCTTCATATGCGTATTTGAACCAGATTTTGTTGTTGGTCTCGTACGCAGCATTAGAGAAACGGACATGACTAATATGTTACTAAACTAAAGAATCTCTTCATATTTCACACAAAACAAAGATTCATGGATTTATTGTGTAATTTATAACATGTTATTCCATTTTCCAATCAGTGTTTGGATTTTTAGTGGTTCATATATATACTTTGTATTACAGAAGGTTATATAATTTACAAAAAACGAATGTATGGACTGATTTGAAAATTAGATAAAACATAGAGAAACTAATAACAAATAAGTATACTAGGCTTTCCAAGTGGGACTGAATTAAAGTTGGGCCCCTGAAACACTTCAAACAATCAAAACTGGGCTGGGCCGAAAAACCCTAATTAACACACATAGTCCCATATATATTTTGTATCGCCGCAAGAATCTGGCTCAAGCTTTCCAAAGACCTAATAAAACTTCCTCAAGCTTTTAGCCGTTTTAGGGTTTAATCCTTGAGATCTAAATCATGGTGAGTTCTCCACTCTCAGTCTCTGAATCTACATCTCTAACTACACTGTCTTAACCTGATTGTTTGCTTAAAAAAATTATGTATGTAGGCGGATGTGGAACCAGAGGTTGCTGCAGCAGGAGTCCCAAAGAAGAGGACGTTCAAGAAGTTTGCCTTCAAAGGAGTTGATCTCGATGCTCTTCTTGACATGTCTACTGATGATCTTGTCAAGCTCTTCCCTTCTCGTATTCGCAGAAGGTAAAAACACACAGAAACCGTAGATTGAGATTTGTGTAATTGATGTTTTATGTTTTGTTCTGACAGTTTGTCTTTGTCTGAAAAATTGAGTTTAGGTTCTCTAGAGGTTTGACCAGGAAGCCAATGGCTCTCATTAAGAAGCTGCGTAAGGCTGTAAGTCATTTCTATCTCTCTGTTTGTGTAATTTAATGATTAGTTTATGTTATTCGTAGTTCTAGATTAGCTAAGAATCTCATTTCTAAACTTTTTCAGACATAGTGTTTACATTTCAGACATTTGTTTAGAACATGAGTTAGTTCTTTTAGTTTTAGGACCTGTCTTGTTTCTATTTAGTTTTGTCTTTTTATTGAATTAAAATAATTAAGCTGTTGTTATTTTGAAGGCTTTGAGGTGTTTGGTAATCTGTTAAACTTTATTTATGTTTGATTTTGTTTATTTATTTATTTGGTGTTGATAAATAGAAAAGAGAGGCACCACAAGGTGAGAAGCCAGAGCCAGTGAGAACCCACTTGAGGAACATGATCATTGTCCCAGAGATGATTGGAAGCATCATTGGAGTATACAATGGAAAGACCTTTAACCAAGTCGAGATCAAGCCTGAGATGATTGGTCACTACCTGGCTGAGTTCTCCATCTCGTACAAGCCGGTTAAGCACGGTAGGCCTGGTGTTGGTGCTACCCACTCCTCCAGGTTTATCCCTCTCAAGTGAAGAGCTTATACTACTACTGCTTGGGGAATGTGTTCCATCGTTGTATGGTCTTTGCTTTGATTTTGTCTTCAATGTAATGCGGATCCTTTTTTTGCAATTTGTTTTTGGTTTATGATGAATGAAACTACTTTTAGATACTTTGTTAAATCTATGTTTTTCTTGCATTTTCATTAAGGTTTCATTTGCGCACGGGTTGTTTTTCAGTTTTGTAAAAGTTTTTAATCAACACGAGAATTCCAATATAATTCTGCAAACCAAACCGCATAAACGTATTGAACTGATGGGTTTATATCTTTGGGTTTAGTCGCTTAACAATTGTATGTCTTTCTTGTACAGTTATTGGGCTTCGTCCTCTTTAAGTTGTAAATCTTCCCCTTCATCAGATTTTGACTAGTCTTCCTTTCACAAAGATCTTTGGCGAATGGCACAACTCGTCTCACTTATTTTTTAACAAACAGTCAGTTTATGATACAAATATCCATTAGAAAATAAATTAAAATTTATTTTATTTTTTCTTGAAATGTATGGTTTAATCCCTTTGAAAAAATTAAATTTTTCGATAAATACTATCTATAATTTTTAGACACTTTAGTGTTGTTTAAAAATACCAAACCACACTCTAAATGTATATTAACATAGGCTAAACATATTTTCATGGTACATTGTCATCATTTCTAACTTTTCAACGAGTAATTTACTTTAACTTCATAAATAATCTAATCAGTGTACTAACCACTATAAAATCTATAATTTCTAGAGAAATGAGAACATATAAGGTATCAAACCTCTTTAATCTTCAAAATATATCAGTTCACTATGAAAATATGCATTAAAACAAAAATTAAAAAAATTTCTATTTTTTCTTGAAATGTGTGGGTTAACCCCCTTTGAAAAATTGAATTTTTCGATAAATGCTATCTATAATTTTTAGACACTTTAGTGTTGTTTAAAAATACCAAAACCACACTCTAAATGTATATTAACGTAGGCTAAACATATTTTCATAGTACATGGTCATCATTTCTAACTTTCCAACGAGTAATTTATTTAAATTCCATATACGATCTAATTAGTGTACTAACCACTATAAAATCTATATTTTCTAGAGAAATGAGAACATATAAGGTCTCAAACCTCTTTAATCTTCAACAAATGTCAGTTCATGATGGAAATATGCATAAGAACAAAAATTAAAAAAAATTTCTATTTTTTCTTGAAATGTGTGGGTAAACCCCTTTGAAAAAATTAAAATTTTCGATAAAAGCTATCTATAACTTTTAGACACTTTAGTGTTGTTTAAATATACCAAACCACACTCTAAATGTATATTAACGTTGGCTAAACATATTTTCATGGTACATGGTCATCTTTTCTAACTTTCCAACGAGTAATTTATTTTAACTTCATATACGATCTAATTAGTGTTATAACCACTATAAAATTTCTATTTTTCTAGAGAAATAGGAACATATAAGGTCTCAAACCTCTTTAATCTTCAACAAATGTCAGTTCATGATGCAAATATGCATTAAAAAAAAATTAAATAAATTTCTGTTTTTTCTTGAAATGTGTGGGTTAACCCCTTTGAAAAAATTGAATTTTTCGATAAATGCTATCTACAACTTTAAGACACTTTAGTGTTGTATAAAAATACCAAACCACACTCTAAATGTATTTTAACGTAGGCTAAACATAATTTCATGGTACATGGTCATCATTTCTAACTTTCCAAAGCGTAATTTATTTTAAACTTCATATATAATCTAGTTAGTCTATTAACCACTATAAAATCTCTATTTTCTAGAGAAATAGGAAAATATAAGGTCTCAAACCTCTTTACTCTTCAAAATATGTCAGTTCATTAAGCAAATATGTATTAAAACAAAAATAAAAAAATTTCTAAATTTTCTTGAAATGTGTGGGTTAAACCCTTTTGAAAAAATTGAATTTTTCGATAAATGCTATCTATAATTTTTGGAGACTTTAGTGTTGTTTAAAAATACCAAACAACACTATAAATATATATAAACGTAGGCTAAACATATTTTCATGGTACATGGTCATCATTTCTAACTTTCCAACGCGTAATTTATTTTAACTTCATATACAATCTAATCAGTGTACTAACAACTATAAAAACTATATTTTATAGAGAAATGAGAACATATAAGGTCTCAAACCTCTTTAATCTTCAAAATATGTCAGTTCATTATGCAAATATGCATTAGAAAAAAATAATAAAAAATTCTAAATTTTCTTGAAATGTGTGGGTTAACCCTTTTGAAAAAATTGAATTTTTTGATAAATGCTATCTATAATTTTTAGACACTTTAGTGTT